AACCTAACATAATCCAACCTAAATGCCTTTCCCATCATTAAAGATATTTGAGAAGTAAGTAGTACAGTGTTACTTATAGGTATTAGGAGAACCCATCTATTCAACAATAAAAAAGATAAAAAAACACAGTTTAAAAGTATTTAATTTGGTAGTGCCCATCATTAGCTCAAATGGCTTTATGTGTCCTATTTCGGCATCCTTGGCAGATACAGCCAATATAAATATTTAATAAAGGTAAAGTGAAATTGAAAAGCATACATGCAGTAGACTATAATTATAACCACGGTTGCCACTTGAAAATTTTTTTCTGTACCAAAATTGGTTTAAAAAGGTACCATTTCTGTAAAAAAAGGTCCAAAATTTTTCTATTGTCTTTTTATAAGAAAATACAATTTATATAAAATGTACAAAAAGTGTAAAACAATACAATATTCACAATAAAGTTGGGTCGCAGAAAATGTACCATTTTTTGAACATGAGTACCAGAGTACCAAACGGAAAAAAAAGTACCAATTTTGGTACTAAAGTACCATAAGTGGCAACCGTGATTATAACGAAAGATATAATGAGAGTTTACTATAATTCGAGTTATTTGGTTCTTCTAAAGGCTTTGGGTTTATATAGCAAAGACTGTAAAATATTACGTACTTCTAAGGCAATATAATTTTATAACTTACACTATTTTACAGCAATTTAAAATTGCGTTCGGTTAGTTATTAGTACTAATAACGATTATATTAATTGTTAGATATTGTCATTATCTATATATTATATTGATCACTACATTATTTTTTGTATTATCTATTGAATTGTACATTATTACAATATTATTACAAATACAATACAACTTGACACAAACTAATCCATCACTTTCTTAAGTTATTAATAAAACTGAAACAAATTATAATATATGGATTATCATTTTATATGCAGAAATAAGTTATTCATATTTATGTTTATTTAAGTACACACATATGTTTTGATAATGTTTTTTAGAAGTGAAATAAAACACATGGAAGTTATATAAATATCTAAAAAAAAGCTTTTAAAACAGTAAAGAAAATATAACACCCCTAATAATGATATTTGGTTTGTAGCATATATTTACATCCTGACTGGCTCGAATAAAACGCAACCCATAAGCACGGTTGCCACTTGAAAATTTTTTTCTGTACCAAAATTGATTTAAAAAGGTACCATTTCTGTAAAAAAGGAACATGAGTACCAAACGAAAAAAAAAAAAAAGTACCAAGTTTGGTACTAAAGTACCATAAGTGGCAACCGTGCCCATAAGTTGTTCAATTTTCAAGTAAATTTTTGAAGACTTCAGGAAATAAGTTTCTGATTGTTGACTTTTAACATTGGACTGAACCAATGATTACAGCTTATTAGAGCGAGAGAGTTAAGCGACTTTACTTATATCCCTCGGAAAATAATCCAGACGATCCTCACGTAAATAAAATACCAAATTTTAAGAGTTACTAGTATAGACGTGCTACTAATTTAAAAATTACAACACACCTCTTTACATATATATATATGAATTATTCCGCTTAACACTGTTTAAAACTATTACATTCTCCATACATTTACATTAAATATAAAAAGATTATAATAATTGAAAAGATATTTTATAACTTAAGAGCGTTCATGGCATAACATATGTAAACTAATATTAAAATTCTTTCTTAGCCGCTTACGTAAATAATTAATATATTAAATTTATAATCTAGTACATTTTCAATTTAAAGATATATATATATTGTTAAATTCAAAATGAATGAGAATTATATACTTCATGTTACAGTGTTTGGAAGAACATTTTAGTGTTGCTTTTCATTACTGTATAATTCTCATTTAGTTTAAACGTAGCAACAGATTTAAAACACCAATAACAAAAATGATCTATTCGATTTTAATATGTTGGTTGTTAAATAAATTGTTTTATCTCGTATATTAGAGCTTCATATGTTAGTTTAAAGGATGATAAGTTGTTGGTTGGTGATCATTGAAAGAATTATTTACTAATTTATAATCAGATTTTGTATTATTATTGAAATAATTTTAGTTTCTTACGTGCAGTTGTTTATATACATGTATTATTGTTCTTATTTTTTGTTTTTCTTAGCTTGTTCACTTCAGGTACCAACCGCCAACCATTAATACTACACTTTTTACTTCTTAACTTTTAAAGAAAGGCTGGTCAATTAACTACAAAACACATCAATAATAAGTGAAAATCTGTTATTTAATTGTCAGTAAAGTGGCAATTAAAGCTGAATGGAAAAAAATGAAAAACGAAAAGTTTACCTTGACTACGAACTTTATGGACGTGACTCTAGAAAATTGTTTAGAGTATTATCAATCTTCACTTTTTTAGGTCGCTAATAAAAGGCGGAAGGCTTATGTTGTAGTTGTAAGCAATATTGCGATGGAGAAGTCTTTCGTATAATCAGAGCAAGAAATTATTTAAGATAATTCTGCTATTACTGCTTCGCTATTTATAAATCTCTCAAATCACTAGCTTACAGGAACCCACAAAGAGCAACTGCACACTTTTGTATTACGGACCACATATTACTGCAGTTATAAAACTTAGTGGGAAAAAGAAACAATTTGGTTTTTTCTCAGTTATTATTATATCTATTAAAACCTACTATATCTGTATCTCTCTATACACGAAACAAATCCAGACAAGCTCTACACAGATAAGGGATCAACTTTTTAAAAGATTTTCACTGTGTTGGAATTTCTTCAATAGCTTAAATTCTTGAAAGATCACCCTACGATAAAGGGTGCTCAGAGTAGGTGCTATAACAATGGGGTTTTTCCTTTTGTGAGACCCAATTCCTTTTGTGTTAAAAGTGCTATAAAAAAATGAAAACGTTCTGGTTTTTGTGTATTTTCTTATCAGTTATTTTGCATTACAGTTAAAAAATAGTTTAAAAACGGGGTGCGGTAATGAATTTCGAAGTAATTAAGAATGAAATAATTTTACAAAATCGTAGATCCTTGTTGTTATTGATTACAGTATTAGTAACAATAAATTTAGAATGTAAATTTATTCTAAAGCAATGAATATATTGGCATATGCATTATATATATATATTTATCATTTAACCAATAATATAACGTAATTAAATTCTTTTCAAGAATGGTCATTTTGGCCTTGGATCTATTATATACAAATAAATTGCTTATGTAAAAAATTACCACATTATTATTATTTAAAAAAATTAATGAGCTTATTAGATTTATTTTTATTTTATCAAAATATCTATAATATGTTTTTCTCATTGCAAGTTTTTTTTTCCCGACTTTATTTTACTTAACTAATATATTGCAATTTAATTTGAGAAAAACAAATTGCAACATACTTGGTAAGAGGTATTTGTTTATTTTAATTAAAAGTGAACTAAATAGATAACTCATTATGTATAGAACATAAGACAAAAACATTGTATTTCCTAACAGAAGTTATGTGAAATTTACGAAATCTAAAATATATACGGATTAGTATTTAGCAAGCCGACTGTTTAGCATTATCATTCAGTTGCAAAACTTTTAATAATCTATTGATCTTAATTAGATCTTATAAAAAAAGTTTTTAAACATGGTTAATTGACAAATGTGAAGTTAGATTACTGAAAATGGAATCACATTTGTCATAAAATCATATCTGCACTGTTAAATCCCCGTTGGCCAACTGCTGAAATCAATAAAAGCAGAGACCACTTTTTTACTGGTCAGCTCTAAAATAAGTTGACCAAAAGTTAGCCAACAAAATTAAAGCCGTCAAGTATAATTACTCCAAGCAAATTTGATGTCGGTTGAAACGGAAAATCGAAAGCCGAAAGCGGAAAACAGCACGCGCCCGCGAATGAAATGGTGTTGCTTGTGAACGAGTAAGCGAAAAGTTCACACTCAACAAAATTAAAGCGCCGCTCTCATTTAAACATCCATTGATAATCAATTAATAAAGCAATTCATTAATAGAAAAAACTGTTCCATAGCAATTTTATTAATACAATTTTTATTGCTTTTTCCATACTTTAATTTTTAGCAATAAATTTAAATATCTGGTGTAAAGTAAGTTGATAGGTGTTAACGAGTATTGTGAGCTGAGCTGAATGCTTATTTTCACACCTCTTATTTCTTTCAATGAAGATGTAAATAGCAGTGCTAGTTTGAAAGATTAATAGGAGTCAACAAATATTTACACAAATACCTGACATGTGCTATAAACCAACATAGTAATATAATATCACTGCAATTAATTATATTACATTTATTATGTCAAACAAGCAGCAGGAATTTTAAATTAATTTTTTCTAAATTATGTTAAAGTGGGAGCTGATAAAAAATTTAATATCTATTACGTGATATGAAAAGTAACCACCGTTTTTGGTACATTTTTAAATAAAAGTTTCCTTTATTAAAAATTGATTTAAATGAAATTTATATTGGTCTAAATAATTTATGATCTTTTGCTATTTTTCGGGTAGCTGATTAATCCCATTACTGTAAAGCTTTTATGGTTTATTAGTGAAAAGAATAGTCAATTGGTTTTTAGTTTAATCAGAGAGTTTATCAGTGATCGCAACAAGCGATAGTCGTATGGTGCTAGGTGTATAGTATATGATGGATGACCTCAAAACTTCCCCACCAAGTTTCGTCAATTTGTTCCATGTCATCAAAGATGTGTGTGGCCTGGTATTGTCATGATGGAATATGACAAGTCGAGTTGTGATCAGCAGAAGGTGCAATTAATTATTGGAACAGCTGGTAAAAGACAATTCGTTTCCTACAAACACTTAAAGTTACCCTGTTTGCAGTGAATTTCGACTTTGAAGTTTTGGTCAGTGGCCTTTAATCATTATCGTTTGAATTATACTTATA